TTAATGGTGTACTTCGGGGTGGCCGCGCGCGCGCGTGACAGAGGATGACAACGTTGGGCCCCGCCCTGGCCGCGACGCAAAAGCACGATCGATGCGCGAGAGCGTCTGCAGAGGGGCATACAAGTGCGTGAAATCGTCGCCCTCGAGCTCCACTGGGGACTTCAACGCAGCATCCCAAGCGCTGACAAAGGGCCGTCGAGGACCTGGGGGGGCCCCTTGGGGCCCCAGGCCGGGGCGCTCGGGGTCCTCGGGCTCGGCGGTCGAGACAAAACGGTTCAAAGGGGCAGGCGGGCTACTCGCCATGTTGAAGTCCCCGTGCGCAGCCGCTAGCTTGCGAGAGGGTCGTGTTCGGCTGTCTGGGAATATTTCTGGGTGCTTCTGTGAGCCCGATCCCGAACCCCCGCAGAAAGCCCACGATTGCGGTTTGTCCTGAAAAACAAAACTGCACGCGGAGAACCCGACCTTCTACCAGTGATTCTTCTGAGGCGCGAGGAGGATGAGGATGATGGAGGGCCTGGAAGTTGGAATTGAACGCATTTGCTCCACCAGCTGGGCGTCCAGGGGCCGAAATTCAAAACGATGTTTTAGCCGGGGCTGGATGGGGAAGGTGATAGAGGCAGTCTTCAACGCGAAACTCATTTCCACGCGATTCCTGGACAGCCACGATCGAGTAGGGAGACGGCGACTTTGACAGGTAGCGCAGCCTGCGGCCCCTCACGCGCGAGCTGCGATGAAACAGTAGTCTGGCATTCCACGCGGTGAAGGTCAGTGCCGGCCCAGGAGGCACTGACCCCCCCCCCCCCCCCCACACACACGCACGCACGCACGCACGCACGCACGCACGCACGCACGCACACACACACACACACAACGCTACCTGAATAAGTTGCCAAAGGCTCACTCGACTTCCTGCGAGTTCGCAAGGATGGGCTTGATGCGGTCGGTGATGAGGTTCTTATCCATCTGCAGGTCAGCCAGGCTCGCAAGGGCCCGCCCCACCTTGTGGTCCGCATTCGCACTCGGGATGACGCGCAGCAGAGGCTTCCACTTGTGCGAGAGCTCGCCCCTCGCTTTGTGCGCTCCACGCGAGGTAGAGGTCGTTGATGGACCTGCGCAGCTGCTCGAGCGAAAGTTCGGTCTTGACTTGGTACAAAGCTTTGTCGCTGGAGACGCGCACCTCGACGGCATTGTTGAAGGCGTCCCGAGCAGAGAAGCGCCTCCAGTCGTTGGGGCCGATCTTGAGCTGGGCGAAGGCACTGGTTGACCTTCCGAGCGGCGTGGCCAGGGGCGCCTTTGAACTGCAAGGTGAACTGTTCCGAGCTCGGCTCATAGACGATGTCGAAGTCGTCGGCGGAGCAGATGGCGGCGAGCAGCCACTCCTGCAGGCCGCCTACAAGACTCTCCTTCGCGACCAACGTCTTGGTGCGGCAAATGATGATCGTCGGGCCGGGGTCTCTCTGGAAGAACGTGTTGACCTCGATCTTCGTCGGGGTCTCAGGGCGCATGATGCCAAGCTCGGTCTGCATGGCCGCAATCTTGGCGTCCAAAGCTTGAATGAAAGCAACTTGTTGAGATTGAACGACTTCAGCGCGTGACATCCTGGTCTCCACCTGTTTCCCAAAAAACGAGCAGCTCGTCTGGGCGGTGGCTGCCAGCTGGGAGACGGAAGTCTGGATGGCGCTGATCGCACTTAGTAAGTGATCTTTTGTGGTGCCCACGTATTCGCGAATGTCACTGTAGCGCAGAGGGCACTCCGCCTGCAGCGCAGGCTTCGGCAGAAGAGGCGCCTCCAGAATGGGTCGATCCCAAGACCACACGCTTCTGGGTTGGCTCACGAGTTGGACTGTCAATAAGATGGCCGGGAGGGGGCGCCGCCGAGGCCGGTGCCTCTTCGCGGCGCTCCTTGGACGGGAACGGTGGCATGAGGTCGAATTCGGCGTCGAGAGCGGCGAGGGCGGCTGCAGCAGCTGCAGCACGAGCGTCCTGAGAGGTACCCATGGCCGCTGCACGAGGGTCGACATCCGCCATCGATCAAATCGGATACACAAGCACGGTTGCCGAAATGAGTATGTTGCAGCTCCGCTGCGGTCAGGTTACGGGGTCCTGTCCGAGGCTTCTTCGGACTCCTCGAGGACTGGTCGTCCTTGACCACTTTGAGCCACAATGGCTTGAGCCAACATTGATTGAGCCAAAATGGTTACGGATCCTCCTTCTCCTCCTCCTCCTCCTCCTCCTCCTCCTGTTCCTCTTCCTTCTTCTGCTCCTTATTTGGGGTAGGACGTCGTACCCAGCCCTGTATTCCACTGCATACATTTTCACATCCCTGATCAGGGCAACTCATCTGGGCATCGTTTCTGGATGGGCTCGTGGGGTTTTTTTTTAGTCAGCGGCCGCGGGCGAGCGCGCCGGCGGCGAGTCCAGGCAAAGCTGGCCACGCAGCGACGAATTAGCCTAAAGCAGCGGAGACAGGCCACACCTAAAGCGGCTAACCGAAACCTCACGCGGCAACTCAACGGCGAACCGGCGAGTGGCAGGGGGCAGCTGAAACACTGGTATGGTTACTTTAGTCCAGAAGGCGGTGTGAACGAGGCTGGGACTGGTAGGGTTACGCGAAGCATCTAGAATTCGGATTCCGCTTCTGCCGAAACGCAGCGCAATGTCTCCCCGAACGCTGCGATCCTGCAATGGGCGCGGGGCACGCTCCCTGCTTTTGCCAAACCCCCCGACATCGATCCACGACCAAGAAGGCGAAATGTCGCTCTCGCCGTCCCCCAAAACGCAGGGGAGACCTCATATGAAAGATGCGGTCCGGTTTGGACACGGCGAGTGCGGTTCCTTTGTACAAGTCGTCGCTGGAAGCGGGTCCGCGCACGACAGAACGGAACGCTCGCTACTTCCGCCGCAAGAGGAACACTCTCGCTGAGGACTGTGCTCCCGCTTGGGCGGGGCCCTCCCTCTCGCCAAGGCGTCAGACGCGGGGCCGCGCGCGAAGAGCCGCAAGGCGAACGCTGTCGCTGAGGATGACTTTCCCGCTTGGGCGGGGCGCCGCCTCTTTCCTGCCAAGACGTCGGAAACGGGGCCGCGTGCGAAGAAACGGCATGCTGCTCTCGCCGCAGGGCGTGTACTCCGCTGGAGGTTGCAAGTGCACGTTTGAGCGCTGCGCCTACCCTGTCTTGCCACGGCGCTGGGAAGCGCAAACGCAACGCATGTCTCCGCCCAGCGCCGCCCAAGTGTCTGCTGGAAGATGCGGTTGTGCTTGCCCGCACCACTTCGTGTCGTGAATGAAAAAAACAAATTTATTCGCCTCAGAAGCTGCGCCCTCGCTTGGGGATCGGCGCGCCTCACTCCGCCAGATCACCCCAGACGGGGCCGTGCGAGCAAACGAGTGCGTTCCTTTCGCCAGGTGTGGGACAGGCGCCAGTCCCGATGTTCATATGTGCCGACATCGCTGTGCATGCTTTGGGAAGGGAGATGCAAGAAAGATGGGGAACTTTAGTGGGAGACCGGCTCAGTGGGGGGGAACATCGAGCTGGAATCTGCGATACAGCGCCGACAGATCGACGATCCACGACAGCGCCCCTATCGGCGATGAGTGGGCGATGAGGGGTAGACACATCGCCGCATCGATCCCCTGAGCCTGAGCCCCCCCCTGACGTTTCCCCTCGGAGAGGGCGTACCCCGCTGAGTCGCTCGAGCTGGTTGGCGAGCTGGCGGCTCGGCTCCAGAGCCCCCCAATCCTTACTGCTCTGTGCGCCCCGCAACGGTTCCAAGCGGGGGAGAGGCAAGACAAGTTTGCAAGTCGGGGAGTTATCCAGCACTACCGCTTGGGTGATCGATCTTCGGGGCAGGCGGTGGATGCGGATACGTTTGGCCCCAAGACCAAGGGCCCGCATATATCCATACAACCGCGGAAGCCCAATATGTGCGGCGTGGCCAGTCAGCTGTCGCTTTCGATGCGGCTTGGCGGCCCTCGTGCGGCGGCGGGACGTCGTGGGCGTCTATGGTTTCATGGGACAAGGGGCCCTGCAAACAATATTGGCTGGGCAGGCCGTAGGACTTTCCGCTGACGGGCAATGGGCACAACGTGAAGGTAAACATTGGAACCATGGGAGCTGAGCCTGGTCCAGACTCCGTGAGCATGTAAGGCAGACGCGGGTACCAGGTCCTCAAGCTCCAATGTGTGCATACGTTGTTGTTGGTCGCCGTCCACGAGTATGGCACGCCCAATTACCTTTGTTCCAAACCTTGCGTGTTCATATGTGCTTGACCGAAGAAGTGCTTGCGCCGAGCATGGTTTGTCTGCTCGGATGGCAAAACTGTGCGACACACGTACGAATGCCATTTCAACTTGAGATGCACACGGTGCGTTGGTTCCGACATTCAGATTCCATACTGTTGCAGAACCTTGCGCGCTGTGTAGCCGTGTCCCATGGTCTCTGACTGATCAGCCGTGTGTATTGATGCCGCTGGGGCGTTTCACGCAAAGCGCGAAATTTTTGGTAAGACTTCAACGTTGCGGTGAGCCTTGATGTTGAATTAACCGTGAGCCGCCATGTGGAGTTACCCTGTGACAGCAGACTCAAGCATACTTATTTTGACCTTCTCAAACCTTCTCATCTCTCCCACCTCATCCTGCTCCCTCCGACTCCCTTTGGCTCTTCCTCCCCTGCTGCACCACGATCTCGCACAGGATCAAAACACCCCCGTGCCCAAAAAGATCAGAAAGCGCGCCCGTCACATGCTCCTCTTCATCCACGGAGACGGAGGTCAACATCTGCAGATGTTCCTCGCCCTCGCGGGGGCCTCCCAGAAGCTCCCCGTGGCCACGGCTGGATTCCCACTTGAAATGTTGGCCAGGGAGCGCCCGCACGACGGGCCTGGAGGGCGATCTTGGCGTCGGGTCCGTCGCCTGCCTCTGGCTTATCCTCGCCCGTCTCGCCCTCCGAGCGAAGACCCACTCACCCGCACGCCCCGCCGCGGTGGTGGGACGAGGCCGCGGCGGAGGAACTCGGACAGCGGCAACAATCCAGAGTCCTGCTCGGGAGCGAGGCTGGAAACCCGGCCACCGCTCCGCATCTCTCTCTCTCTCTCTCTCTCTCTCTCTCTCTCACAAGAACACATAATGGCAAAGACATCAGCTTCCGGACTTCCGCGCGCGCGGACTTCCCTGATTGGCGCTGGAGCCCCATCCCTGGCGAGCGGAACGCGCCACGAAGAGTGAGCATTTCTTCTGCGAGCGCAGGAAGGCGTCAACCAGGCTCAGACACTCACGCACAGGAACATTGCCGGACCCAGGACAAAAACAAGCATTCGTTAAGAACGTGAGACCCTCCGCCAGCCCGAACTGAAGAACATTGAGGTGCCGTCCCCGAACCAACCTCGATCCTATACCCAGTCCGAGCGTAACAGAGGTGCAGGACGAACCAACTGCAGGAACATGTCGGGATGTCCACAGAGATTTCGTGGATCGGTGCTGCCCCCCCAACGGCGATCCAAGACCCGCGTCGAGCTCCCGAAGTTTAATGTCGACACAGTTGTTTGTCCTTCGAGGGAAAGCACCGACTGCAGCCGAACAAGTGATGAAGAAAAGACCAGTTAAGAAATCTGGACCTGCTTCCTGGAGGCATCTTGAATCAAGCCTGGGCCAATGTATGTTGTTGACGATGGAAGGGCGAACACGCTCAAAAAACCTGGGCCAGCTTGCGGCAAGTTGGTTAAGGAACGCTGGCCAGACTTTTCGGGAAGAGGCTTCTGGATCAGATGAGCCTGATGTTTCCCCGATCTCAGGATGAGATGGAGGAGGCTTCGTTGTACGGAGGAAGGCATGGAGGCGGCGGTCTGAGTGGCCGGGCGCCGTGGTCGTGGTGGTTGCCACCGCCGTCGTCATGCCCTCTGCATGCGCACTCGGAGAAGCGCGCGAGGGGGGGGCCGCTCCTGGACAGCGTCGGCGGCGGCGCCGTCCACTTCCCATCCAGGAGGCTCGTCGGGGGGGCGCCAGCCACCCCTCGGCGGCCCTTCAGGCCAGGGGTCGGGGGTCTTCGGCCGGCGGCGTCTGGGCGTTGTGGCGCTAGGGGGGGGTGCTAACGCCATTACATGGCTCAGCGCGACTGCCATCCCTCCCAGCGTCCGCCCACCCCCTCTCTCTCTCCATTGCCGTTGCTCTTGCATGCTTCATCGACTTGTCTGTCACTGCGTCACTTCAGCCCGAAACTGGGACCTTCGGGGTGAACCAGCGGTTGATTGACGAAAGTGCCAGATTGATGCCTCAATTTGGGATGCACTCAGCTTTGATGTTGCGTCTGGGAGCGAAGAGTGGAGGACTTGTCAACCCGTGGCTGCAATTTTCCCGAGCGTGCCGAGTCCCAGTCTAGGGGGCCCTGGCTCCTCCCTCTCCCGCCGCCGCTGGCAGCGCAGCACAGACTGCTGGGAGCCGACGGCGAGGGCCCCCGCCTCGCGCCCCCCACCCCTCCCCCTCTCCGCGCCGCCGGCATGCCCAGAGACCTCCGGCATCACTGCGGCAGCTCTTCGGTCGGGTTCCTGGGGCCTCCGGGGCCGCGTGTGATGGCCCCCCAGGGGGCCCGCAGCAAGAATTCGGCCGACCTGCACTGGATGCGAGCCGAAGATGGGGGCCGAGGGCCGCGGGGATCCCCGTGGATTGAAGCAACTGGGGCGCTAGATGTCTGGGTATCCACCTGCACCAGGCCTGGCAAGGCCGAACCTGTCCCCGAGGATTTTCGGAACCCTCTGGGAGCTCTCGAGTGTGTTCTGGAGGCTCTGCTGCTCCTGCCGGCGCCACGCGCGGCTGCGCTGCTGCTCCTGCCGGCGATGCGCGCGGGTGGCGCCGATGCCGCGTGGCGGGCCGCCATGCGCGAGCCATTCTTTGAGCGGCCAGGGGCGCCGGATTCGTTCACGCATCGGCGAATTCGCCGCAGCGCGCGGGCGGGCGCGCTCCTCCCCCCGCCCCCGTTCCTCCCTCCCCCCTCCCCCGTACCACTGGGCTTCTTCGCTCTTGTAAAACAGTTTGTTCTGGAGGCTCTCGGTCCCTAGGGTGTTTACCTTCCACTACGCCTCGTCAAGGAGTTTGCCTGAAAGCGGGGTATCGTACCGAACCGCCGCCCAGGGCCCGAGCTTGGGCCCGAAATCCAACCAGAGGGTGGATGACCCTGACACCTAGGCATCGTTGAAGAACTCAAGCCAGGCGTGTCTTGCCCCGGGGCTGGCCCTGTGGCTCTCACGGGTCGATCCAGCTCCGGCCTCAGACCAAGCCGCCGTCGGCGGTCGGGAAGTATGCGCCGTCCGGGCATCGCTGGGACGACGGTGTGTCCTCCTGGGCACAGGATCGGCCTGGTCGGGATGGGTGCGGATGGATAGCTGGCGCCCCCCGCGATTCGACACCACCACGAAGTCCTCCCTCACCAGTGACAAGACTGGGCGGGGGGGCGGCCGCACACGAGGGCGAGAGCAAGGGGGACTAGGAGGATTCGGTGGAGGGCATGGGGGGGAGGGGGGGGGGCGGTGAAGGAGGATGGGGCGAAGAGAAGGATGAGGGAGATGAGAGGGAACTTCAGCCACAATGCTTAAGCACCGTTTCTTCAAGTGAAAGCGGCTGGGAAGTGGAGGATCAGGGGGGTCGACTTAGGCAGGGGGAGCGGGCCAGCGACTCCGAGCCATGCTTAGTCCAATGCGCGACCCCCAGAACTCTCGCTCCCTTCACTGGGGAACCATTCTTCATCTCAGATCCTCTCTTGATTTGGACGGTCCCTGGACCCAGAACGGGCATCCAGAGGTCTGCGTAGAAGGCGTAGAAAGGCAACCTCCGCCTCGACTCTCCTCGGACGCTCGAGGACTGTTGGGGCGGATAGGGGGAGAGGAGGGGCCCAGGAGGGGATGCGGAGGGGAGGAGGGAGGGAGCCACTTTTTGGGGGCGGCTTGAGAGCTCGAACATGCAACGATACGAACTCCTACCTGTTGCGCCACCTTTCGGGAGGGGGAGGAGGAGGAAGGGACAGGGGAGGAGGGTGGAGGGGAATGGGAAGGAGGAAGGGGAGGAGGAGAAGGGCCCGGCGGAGGAGGAGGAGGAGGAGGAGGAGGAGGAGGAGGAGGAGGAGGAGGAGGAGGAGGAGGAGGAGGAGGAGGAGGAGAGTCGAGGGGCGCAGGTCGGAGGACGAGGAGCCGAAGCCTGCCCTGCGCAGCCGATGAGACCCCGGCCTGCGGCGTGGGGGTCCAGCCGCTCTCCCCCGAGCGCTTGGCTCTCTCGGTGGCTGCCGGGAAGCGCACGCGTTGCGATGGCCGCAGAAAACACGACTGCGGGGATCCGTGGCCAGGAGAGTTTTGATCTGGGTTCGGGCAAGGCGCGCGTTTGTCTGGCCAGGTCGCCCCGGCCACGAAGAGGTTCCCCGACCTGAATCTCAGGAACGGCCCGGAAACCAGAGCCCTTCCTGAGCCCACGGCTGTCCCTCTTTCAGCGTCTTGGCTGTGCTCCTCTCGGCGGGTTGGCGCGGTCTGCGGGGCAAAGGTGCAGGGTGATAGTTCAGTGCCGCTGCTGAGTGCCACGGGCTGGCCGCGCACGCGGCGGAGTGCCAGCGCGCCACATCGGCGCGCACTCGCGGCCGGGAGGAGGAGGAGCTCGCCCGACACGCGTGCACCTGTGCGGCGGCGCGGCTCGGCCCAGATCGGCGCGCGCGCGCATGCGCGAGCGCGCGCGCATGCGCGAGCGCGCGCACGTGCGAGCGCTCGCACGCAAGTGTGAGCGCTCGCACGTGCCGCGGCGCCCCCGAGGAATGCCGGCCGCGCCGCCGCGGGGGGAAAGGGTGGGCGATGGTCGCGACCCGGCTACCCGCGGCTCGCTTGCCGGAGCGTCGGGGGCGCCGCCCGCAGGGTGATCACCTTCAACGGGCGAGGCCCTGCAGACGGATTGGGCGTCGCTTACTGGGGGGGCGAGGGGAGAAAGGTACACTTCTCGGACCCTGAAAACCCCCTTTGGGCTCTAAGGGCCCCTTCATTGGGTTCGTGCTCAAACACCTACTAGGTGGTTTGCATTCACCTCCTTGGAGGTTCGAGGCTTGCAGATCGGGGTTCGAGGCACTAGGTTGTTGTTCGCTTGAGCGTTTCTCAGAGCCCCTGGGAGGCCTCTTGAGACTTCAGCTGAAGGCTCCAGGCTCAAGCCTGCGTTGCGGGCTCTGGCTCCGCTGGTGGAGTTTTGCTTCTCTGCCCTCCTCTGTTGGGTCCTCATTTCGAACAGCAGCTTATCCCTTCCTCTCCTCCCGCCCCCCTCTCCTCCTCCTCAAACCCGCACGGGAGCGCCCGAGTGGGTCCCCATTCGCATCACACGGGGGGGGGCCTGGGCATTGGGTTAAAGTTCGGGGTTCCTCGTCAGCCACTGCCAGGCCCAGGCCCGCTGAAGGCCTGAAATAGTAGCACTCCTGGCCTGGCTGCGTTCATAAACTGCATTCATTCGTGAATAATTGCCGACGCACGATGCAATAGACGTTGCTGCAAATTTACACCGTGGCCGCAGTCTGCCGCGAAGGCACCCTCCTCCCCCTCCAACTCATCCTCCCCCTCCCCGTCTCCTCCCCCCTCTCGTTCCCAACCCTCCCGTGCTGGGCCCTTGCTTTGGGCCGGGTGCCCCTGCTCCTTGCCTCACCTCACGCCGCCTCCTGCCACCTCCTCCCTCCTCCCTCGTCCCTCCTCCTCTTCCTCTTCCTCTCTCGTTCCTCTCCGCGCTCAGCCCTGCTCGGGGTGCTGCCACGCGTGCACGCGCGCCCCTTTGGGGGATCCCCGCGGAGTGGTGACCCCACGCGGGTCGAAGCCAGTCCCTCACCGCCACAGGTCGGCCGCTCGCAGGGGCAGGATCCATCAGCATCGAAGCGGGAGGTTGGATCGAATCGGAGTATACGTCAGGTCGGGCTGCATCGGCAAGGAGTCGAAATCGAATCGGATCGGCCGCTCCAAGGTGCACAACAGTGCCATGCAAGCAAGGGTCCGCATCGGATCGCCGGCATGTCAGCATCGAATCGCAATGAGCCCACCAGGATGGATATCGAATCGAACCGATCGGATCGAAATGGGTCATGAAGGGGTGTCTGGCCCTGGGGCATGCCTTGCCGATCGGTGCACGCGACGCGACCAGCCGCGGCCTGCGTGCCAGGGGTTGCCCAAAAACCACGCGCCCACCCAAACGCCGCGCACCAGAGAGCACTCTGGCGTAGGGTCGCTCTTATCGGGGAGACGTAAGAAGACTCGGGTTCGGGGGACTCGGGTTGGCCCGACGGGGCCATCAGGACGTTACCCACTCTGAAATTTGCCACGCGCTCCTGCTGCAGACATCCCACGACAACTGGACCGTCAAAATCAAGGGGCGGGCTCGTCAAAAAGCGTGGGCGGCCCCGAGTTCCGACGTACTTGAGTCTTACGTGTCCCCGAGCTCACGTGTCGCCGAACTCCCAGACCCCCGAGGTCGTGAATTGTTCACACAACGTGGACACCCAGAGGTCTGGACCAAGTTCCCGGGACAGGCGTTTCGTCGTGAGACGCTCTTGACGGTCCGGCGAGAGCCCCTGGAGGCCGAACACAGCGAACAACCTCGCGTCGGGTTTTTTTTCCCGACGCTGCTACCGCGCGCGCCGCTGCCGTTGCCTTGCCGCCGCCGCCGCCGACGTCGCCGAAGGAGCGCCTGGGCCCTGCGGGCTCCGAGCGTCCAGGGGCGGCCGCGCGGCGGCTAGGGCCGGCGGCGCTGGCCGCCACCCGGCGGCGTGGCTGCGCGGCGCCTCGGCCTGCGGTGGGCCCCCAGCAGATCACGCGCGCCGCACAAAAGGCTGTTAACGAGACGAGGTATCGATCGTTCTTGGGAGTGGCTTGATGTATGCACAGCGTCGATTGGTTGGCCGAGCAACATTCGCCAAACAGATTGGCACAGTGGCTGACCAAACGACGAGGTGGTGTATACATGGAGCCCTTCCAGATACTACCAGAACGCGACGGGGCGTTTTGTACGGCTTCTGGTCTGTGAGGGCCCTTGCCAGGCCTCGGGGCAGTCGAACATCGATTCAGGATGAGAAGCAGGTCCCAGCTAGGGCAACTATCTTCGCGCTTCGCGCTCCACGAATCGCGACGCGCGATAACCTTCGCGCTTTCTCGCCGCCCCCGTCCCCCACTCAGAAGAGGATGCAGGACTCGCGCCTCGCTCTGAGATCACCCAGACCGCGAAGCGCGACCATCTTCGCACCCTCGCGGTGGCCCTAGGAGAAGCAAGTCCCAGGGAGAGTGTCGAGACCTCTGGGGGTCCACGCTGTCAAACAATTCACGAGGTCGGGGGTCTGGGATGCCACCTGTACACCACCGTTCCTGGCCATGGCCCAGCCACGGCCCGGCTATGGCCAACGCCAGAACCTCAATGTAGATCTGGCCGTGGCGACGAGGGCGCCCAGGTGCCCTCGAAGGTGCTGAACATTGGGAACGTCAGCGCATTGGTTATCCTGGGTTCCGGCATTTGGCAGAGTGGTGGGGGGAGGGGGGGGGTCTGGGTCTGGGCCGGTGCTCAGTCGATCTGCTTCTACCAATCGCGCAAGCAGACTGTGGTGAGGGGTCCTGACCAGCCGCCAAGAGCAGCCGCCCAGAGCAGCCACTAACTGATCTATGGGAAGAGGGAGGGTGGGCGGGGGCCCGCGCCGATCGGAGACACAAAAAAGGCGGCCAACAATTATTCTGCGTCGAGTGGCCCCCACCGAGAACGCGAGGCGGACTGCACAGGTAGCACTGGGCCCCTCGTGGGATGGCGGCCGCGACATGCAGTTATCTGTCGGAAAGGACCGCGAGGCGAGATACCCAGGGAGCACCAGGGCACGGCGATCGCGGTATGCAGGGTGTGCGAGGCGGGCTAGAAATCTAACAGCCACAAACTTGCGGGTGCGGGACATGATGCCCGATCCTCGGAACTCGGCCCTCGATCGACGACGACGACGACGACGACGACGACGACGACGACGACGGCGACGACGGCGACGGCGACGGCGTTGGCGACGACGGTCTCAGAGCGGTTCACAACCCTTCCAGACGGGCAATTCTATCCCCCCCAGACCAGCCATGAACGGGTGGCCTCTTGCTCGGACCCCGATCGACGACGACGAGCCTCGAACCTCGAACCTCGAATCTCGAACGAACATCGAGCCTCGAACGATCCTCGAGCCTCGATTCTCGAGCTCTCGGCCCTCGAGCCTGGATCGACGAGCACTCGACCCTCGACTCTCGATCAACGGCGACAATAAGTACGACGGTGGCGGCGGCGGCGACGGTGACGACGGGTCCAGAGCGGCGCGCACGGGCGACCTCCACCTGCCGAAGGGCCGCCAAGGAGCCGCCGCAAGCCGCCGAGGGCTCTTCAGGGCCGCCAATGGGGCCGCGGGCCTGGAAGGCCCGCGGACCCATTGGCGGCCCGAGGGCCTTCGAGAGCCGCCGAGGGTCCGCCGCAAGACGCCGAGGGGCCGAGGGGCCGCCGAGGGCGACCAGCCGAGGGCCGTCAAGCCGCTGATGGCTGCCGAGGGCCGCCGACGGGAAGGGCCGCCGCCGCCGCCGAGGGGCCAGCCGAGGTGCCAGCCGAGGGCCGCTGGAGGCCGTCGAGGGCGAGGGGCCGCCGAGGGGCCGGCCGATCCGCCGAAGGGCCGCTCGGCGTAGGGCCTGCCGTAGGGGGTCGGGAACCCACAAAGGACGTGCGCGGACAACCACGTACATGAACACGGCTCCCCAGTCCGCGAGACCAGCCTCACGATACGATCGTTCGCTCAGTTCGTGCTCTCGAAGCCACCGAGGATTCATGTACGTGTACGTCCGTCTTTCGCTCCCAAGAGGAGCCGGCCAGGGGGCCGCTCGACGAAAGGCCGGCCGCCGAAGTGGTGCCGCCGAAGGGCCGGCCGAAGGGCCTCGTCCCGCGCTCGGCCGGCGCTGCGCAGCGCGCGTTCAGCGAGTTCCAGCGCGGCGGCGGAGACGCTGCCCGAGAACGACAGCGCCTCTGGACGCGCAGAGGAGGGCCCAGTAGCTGCCGAAGGTCGAGAACAAAGATCTCCCCAGACATGCTCGCGTCTTGAAACGATCACGACGGAATTTTGGTTCGCCGTTTTGGCCTCTGGGAGCCTTCGCCGGGCCCTGGGACCATCAAACAACGACTCAGGATGAAAAACCGGTCCCCGGGAAAGGGTCGGAAGTTCCGGGGGGCGAGCATTGAACAAATCAAAGCATCGCACGTCTGGGGACCCAGACCTGCAACGAAATGAAAACACTAAAGCAGTTTTTGACCCCCCCGTGACAGTTCGTGGGCGCCTCATGGGTGCCCCGCGCTTAAGGGGTATGCCGAATTTGCGCCACGTTGCCGCCCGTGCCCCCTCGTGGGCGCCCCATGCGCTGTGTGGATTTCCCGAGGTCGCACCACGTTGCCGCCCGTGCCGCCTCGTGGACGCCTCGCGGGCGCCCCGTGCTGACACCACATCGCTTTCTTTCCCACGTGAAACCTGACGGGTGACAGAACCACCTTGCGAACCAAGAGTCAAAAAGGGAACACCGCACGAACCGACCTGTAATAGGCGAATTCATGCTGTGAGCCGTGGGCTGAACGAAACATCGAAAATGCAGTGGCGGCACGAGGGAGGAGGGAGGAGGCAAGAATAACAATAAGCATAATACTACGAATAGTAAGAAGAATAATAAACATGATAATAATACTAAGAAGAAAGAAGACGTCGAAGGGGACGGAATGAGGAAACAAGGGAAGAGAAAAGTGCCATCATGTCAAGTTATCATGCCGAGGGCGGGATGGCGCGAAGCCGATCATCAAATACATGCGCCGTTGAATAAAAACACCATGGAACGACAATGCCAACTAAATGGCTGACCGGCACCGGCTGACCAGAGAGCTGCAACAACCCACGATTGATTACGTAACTTTGAATAAACATGCGACTGCCAACATTCCCTGCAATTGACCATGCTCGAGAGGCCTTTCGGTATCCCGCTCAGAACAAGCTCGGCAAGGCAAGACACTACAACTCCTTGAAGACGAACAGGTGGAGGAGCAAAAGGAGGAAAAGGACGACGAGGCCGAGCATGGCCGGACTCCCACACATAACATCGGCGGCGCACCTCGTCCGCCTCGGTCCGATGGGGAGCGCGACTGTAACTAACCCGTCTGGCTCACCAGCCACCCACACAAGAAATTCCTGGAGCGTCCCCGCATGGCGCGCCGCGGCCACTGCTACTCGGCGCAGTTTTCTACGTGGGCCAGCGTAGCGACGGCCCGCCTAGGGCGACGCTAGCGCATGGAATCAGCGAGGGGGGAGGGGAAGGGAGGAGGAGGATGCGAAACGGGAGGAGGAGGAGGAGGAGGAGGAGGAGGAGGAGGAGGAGGAGGAGGAGGAGGAAGGCCAAGCGATAGGATGAGAAGGGTCAGGCCGAGGTCTGGCGCCCATAACAGTCCGAGTCCTCACGCCGCCGCGGAAAGGTGAGCCACTGCGCGAATGATGGGCACGCCGCCTGGCAGGGAAAGAACCAACGTGTGAATGGTGCCCGAAGAGCACATCGAGGCGCCAGAGGTGGCCGCCGCGCCATTGTCACCCTCGGAGATCAGTCCAGCCGTGCCGATGGAGTGCGCGGAACATCCCAGGAGCAGCCCGATGCGACACAAGTTGCCAACACGCGCTTGAAATCCTCTGGACTGTCGAGCCACTTGACGGTTGTGTTGTGCATCCTGACGCCCCGAACTGTGACAGCTGCTGGAGGCCACTGGAACAGACGATCTCCCACTCCGCGCCCGCCGTCCTGGAAGGGATCCGCCGAGCCGGCGAAGCGCGAGGTCATCTCTGAACCAGGTTCAGCCTCGGAAACAAGCGGGCATCACTGAGACGGGCAACCAGCACTGCGGCAACCACGGCACCAAAAACGTTCTTCCGGCTCGCGGCAACCTTGCCAGCAGTCAGACGCACTGCGCGCGTCGCCCTAAGCACGCGCCAACTGGCTGCCAGTGCAGAGAAGTGCTGGGGCTGAAATCTTGAGCCACGTAGCATACACCACGTCGCATATACCATATAGCATGCGTAGTATAGCTTACACCACGTAGCATACACATCATACAACATACACAGCAAATAACATTCACCGCATATACCACGTGCTGTGACCACATCGCTTACACCACGTAGCATACACAACATAACTCAGATTTCACCACATTGCTTGCACCGAATTGTGCTCACCTCCATAGCTCACACCACATCGCTTACACGACATAGATCTCACGACAGACCTTACACCGCACAACTTTCACCTCCACCGTGCAATAGCGCCCTGTTTAGGGTCCACACTGGCTAACATTTTGCGTGTTGCTGGCTCTGGGGGGCCCTCGCCGCGCCAAAGGGCCATCAAACAACGACTCAGGATGAAAAGCCGGTCCTGCGAATGGGTCGAGGCCTCTGGGGGCCGACGTTGTGAACAAAACATGACGTCGGGGGTCTGGGGAGGAGGGTCGAGGAAGCGCGCCGAGGAGAGATCATTGAGGTCCCACTCTAGCAAAACACCGTTTAGTGAAAACGCCCCGGGACCAGACTTGGCGCAAAGCCTTCCCCTGAGCCAAACTAAAGCGATTTGCCGACCGCTTTGGAAGCGGATCAAGGATCGGATCGAGGATCGAGGAAGCGGATCAAGGAAGCGGGTCAAAGATGAACGTTCCAGAAGGTATCCAAATCAAGACATCCGACGATGTGTTTTTGTTCAGTGCGCTGCCGCAAGAGGACCAGACTAGTCGTCCTCGAACCAATTTCAAGGCCCAGGGGCGCGGTAACGGGCCTCAGAGGCCAGCATCAAGGATATCGAGGAGCGGCGGGGTCAAGAATCGCAGACCCCGGTTTCTGCCACTTTCTGCCTCTGGAGGGCCCTCGCCAGGCACCTGGGTCGTCAAACAAATAGGCATGACGTCGGGGGTCTGGTGAGGAGGATCGAGGAAGCGGATCGAGGATCAAAGTGGTCAAGGATCGATGGGTCGATGCCAGATTTTGATTTTGATTCCCTCACCCCGACAAGTTAGGGTTGTTAGATTTGAAGAACAGCGCTCCCGACACGCCTCGCACGCCCTGCGTACCGCGGCCGCCACGCCCCAAGGGGCCCGGTGCTCCATGGTATCCAACCTCGCGTTCTCGGGTAGGGATCGCTCGAAACAAAATTCTCCCAGTGAGACCCTACCTAGGAGTTGGAGCATCTAGGAAAACAACATCTACATCTACACCGACAACTGCATTATCATCTACACTTGCATCTACATCTACATCAACATCAACAGTGAGACTCACATCAGCATCTACATCTAAACCTACATCTACACCTACACCTACATCTACATCTACATCTACACCTACATCCACATCTACACCTACACCTGCATCTATGCTATGATATGCTATGCTGCGCTATCTTATGCTATGCTATGCTATGCTATGCTATGATATGCTATGCTATGCTATGCTATGATGCTATGCTATACTATGCTACGCTATGCTGCGCCGTGCTGTGCTATGATATGCTGCGCTATGCTATGCTATGCTATGCTATGATATGATATGATATGATATGCTACGAGATGCTGCGCTGTGCTATGCTAACCTATACTATGGTATACGACGATATGCTATACTATACTATGATATACTATGATGTGCTGCACTATTTTATGCTGCACTATGCTATGCTATGTTATGCTATGATATGAGATGCGAATGCTGCGCTGCGCTAAGCTGAGCTGAGCGAAGCTAAGCTAAGCTAAGCTACGCTAGGCTAGGCTAATCTAAGCTAGGCTACGTTAAGTTAGGCTAAGATAAGATGAGATACGCTAGGCTAAGTTAAGTTCGGCTAAGCTAAGATGATATCAGCAACGCTAAACTAAGGGGACGCAACTGTGGGAACCGCGGGGCGGATCCTGGGGGAACCGCCGGGGGCGGGGACCACTGCCCGGCCCTTTAAGCGCACACACAGTAAGAACCCTCCTAGGCAGAGCCTAGGTAGGGAACAAGCTTTGCTTTTACTTTTATGCTCTGTTTTGCACTTTTATAGTTCTCTTGACGCCTCCTGGAGGCCCAGGGAGGGCTGATTGTCCATACTGGGTCGCGGGGCCCAGGGGAAACAGGGGGTCGGGGATCGCGGATCGAAGGCAAAGGCGTGACAGCTCTTGGATGCCTTGCATCTTGGAGGCGGCCGGGGGGGTTGATTTGGATGGTGTCATCCGATATTGGTCAAAGGGGGGGGGGAATGCAAATCCAGTAAATATCTGTCCCAGGACCCCCGCCGAGGTCCGTCTGGTACAATTTGTCACCCCAGAACGGTTTTGACGGTCCCGAGGATCGAAAGCGGCCCTCGGCAACAGCAAAAGAACACCTTCTCGAACCCAGTCCCTC